TACAGTCCATTGTAAATTCAACTTGCATTTTATTTGTACAGTGTTTATTGTATTTTATGGTGGTTTGAACAAGAGTGATCCAAATTTTGAATTGTTCAGCATTTCATTTGTATTTCATGATCATACTTCCTTAATCGAGATACCAATCAGAAATGCTGGTATAAAAATATCAAAATCCCATTGCTGAGCATAGAGCTCATCTTATGATGGGAGAGCTTTGACTGTAGTTTCCACGCGGGCCCTGTGCGGATTGGGAATTTCACACACATCATTAAATTGCTTTGCAGATTTGTGCAAGTTTTCTCTCGGATGTTTTTTTACAAATGTAAATTCAAATTTAATCTCACACATGAATTTTGAAAATCTCAGATGTGCATGTCGAAATCGAACTCACGACCCTCTGCAAGAGAAGCGGTAGGTGAATTCATTAGGCTACCACGGCTTACTACTACTGCTTAGTACTGCATTTAACAAAGGTTATTTCAACATAATACTAGAACATTGCGATGAATACCTTAATTATTTCAAATTATGTTTACACTCTGTAGATACAACTTCCATAATAATGTGACAACTCTATGCTCCAAGCGAAGTGTATGCATTGATGCTCCGAACAGGCGGGAATTGCCCTTCTGTCCTCCGTTGCAGTGCCACTCAGAGCTTCAAATCGCCAAGATCTGAGGGGCACTGCCACTGCGCCCGTCACCCTGAGGCATAGTTGATAAGTCTTAGTCCCATGTGCCAGTAATTTCAACTGCTCTCTTACCCTTCAAAACCGAAACGCTGTAATGCTCACATGACTGCTTGGCAGCAGATATAGGTAAGGCAGTACTTACCTTTTTTTTTACGTCAGGAAATCCTCATGGATACCCTCCGCCCGGGGGAGGCGAACCCTTTCACTAGGAGCTCTACTGCTACAGCTACTGCACAAAGAGTTCTATAGCTACTGACTTATCATACTATGACATGAAGAAGACTTAAAAATTAGCTTTATGTTATTTTTTCCCGAAGCCTAGAGGAACTCGCCCATTAACCATATACATTTTCAGTAAAACTAGACTTAATTGAACATTTAATTTTTCTTACCGGCTCTTTTCCACAAACAAACTGAATGACATTGTCGCAGTCAAAGGTTTTTTGTTTGTCCATGGTTCCTACGGGAACCGTGGAAAATAAATAATAAAAGAAAAAGCAAAATCACAGTTAAATATTTCTTGAGCTGACGACTTCCAACTTAGTGATTACAGGGCGTGTTTCGAGTAATACATAGTTAGGTCTGATTACTATTCGTTTCTCTCAGCGAGTAGTAGAGGTGCTGTCCTTGACATCAGTCAACCCCGGATCACCCGTAGATGGAAGACAGCCGCTTAGTGACAAGGGCCGATATGATGGTGACGTATGGTTTTTGTACTGTAGGATATCCTCTCAATGCGGCGGCGGTGGGTTGGGCTCTAGAACAAAAGAACGGGTTAACGTGGCGCTGTGACGGAGGCGTTCGGGATGATACGAGAGTTAGGCAGAGACACAGCCCTCCACTTTATTGTAAATGATTCTAAGTGTATCTGTAACGTAATAATATTATGTATATGTATATATGTATAATGTATATTTAGGGGACTATGGGTTTGTTTATAAGTTAATTTTAAAATATGTATTTTTTTATATGTATGTAACTGTTTGTCCCTCAATAAATAAAAAAAAAAAAAAAAAAAAATTAAATAAACATTTGTACCTTACCGACTGACATTGTAATTTTTCTTTTGTTGATCCATAATTTTTCCACAAGCGGCATTTATTTTTGTATCGAAGCTATAAAAATCTAAATCCAGTTAACATTACAATACAAATATATAAATATATTTCGCACAGAATTACAAAGTACCATAAATATATCGTATGAATCCCACGTGTAGTTCCTGGCTGCGTGGTACAGAAACAAGCAGATTATGCCGAGTCGAAATAACGAACGTGTAAATGTCTGCTGTTTATTATTCCAAATGGTTTGTTATTGCTTCCAATGCCCGATCTTGAGAATGACCATATGTTGGAAAACTTAATACAAGTGGATTCCTTTTAAATTATCGTGATTCCAAGTTTAGTAACACTTCGACTGATATACATTTACGTTGGTTATATAAATATTTAATTAAGAGAGGGGCGATTTTTGGCTCACTTCCTAACTGCACTAGGGAATTAGCGACGGCAAGAATGTAACGGCTTTAATCAAGTGGATTTTTATCTACGTTCTCTTGACATTTAATATTATATTATATATTATACAACATCACATACGTTGCTCTGATCCCAAAGTAAATAACTAAAGCACTTGACAACGACGGTACCACAAACACCCAGAACCGAGAAAACATAGAAAAGTAAGTTTTCTACATTGACCCGACCCGGGATTGAACCCGGGGCCTCAGCGATGGCAACACTATTAAAACCGACGTCGTATCCCTAAACTACCATTTTAATTGAATTGCTCTTTTCTAGCTTTCAAAATAAGTAAGAAGAGTACTATATGCTTACCGTTTCAATATCCCCGTTCTAAAGATCGTTATGGAGCTGCTATTATATTCGCAAATACTTGTGTTATAATTTTGTTCAAATATAATTTTGCTTTATTTTAACAAATATTATAGATGAATGTATCTGTAATAAATGGATTATTATTATTATAATCTTCAAATGACAACGTCGTCGTAAGTCCGTTTTCGACGTAACTACACTAATATCCTGTGTTGTATGAAATAATAAGTCTGGGAAGTGCATTCGTTCAAACTTAAAAAACGTAAATTGCGTTTATGTTACGTGTTTCAACGTAAACACATAGGCTGCGTGTACGCATCACTCAAACTGACATTTTAATATACACTCGCGTCTCTTTTAATTACTAATTAAACACGAGAGTCCAACTTTTATAGAACTATGTGGTTTTGGTAGTATTTGGGGTAATTTGCAGTCGCAATGTGCAAGTGATTGAAATCACATAGGTATGTCGTCACATACCTATACACATCGTCATGTGACCTCCTTACACCGTCATCTCACCTTTTTGTATCGCCTCTCTCCGCTTGTATCCTAACATTTTTTTTTATTTTACATGTATTTAAATTTAATATTTGAATTGTTCCATCTTCCTTCACTTTCTCATTTTGTTTTGATACCACGGTCACTCTCAGCTCGACCGCCACAACAGTCGGAGCTGTTTCAAATTCCATCGCGAATAATCGCTAATTTTGGTTCTTTACTACGTTTATAATCATTAAATAAGCTAAATCATGTGTAATAATTCATAACAGCCTACAGCCTTCATATACATATATCTGTAATTCAGTTTCTCGGCCCATTTAGGTGTAAGTGCCTTAAACGTAAAGTGTAGGGAGTGTTTTATACTGTGTACCTGTTTCTTTTTTACATTTACCTTTATATTGTTTCAGCCCTTTCTTTTAACTTTACTTCTTTAATAAATTTTGTGGACCGGAAGTTTCCCGTTTCATTGCCGTGAACCTGTTCACGGCTAGTTAGGGTTACAACCCTTTCAGGTATCTTAATATTACCGTGTATCTTGTTTTCACAGATTCACTGGTAGTCCAGTGACAATAAGTTCTTTGTTTAGTTTCATTTATCTAAGTATCTTAAACCATTTGTCATAACTTTATGTTGTCAGTAGTAGAGACTGAACAGGACGTATAATTGTCTTTCCATGAGGAACACACGTATACAGTAGTGGTTACATGAGTAAGTAAAATATGACTTACACTACATTAAAAAGCAGAGACAACAACGTAACAAACACACACAAGGTTGTTGCACGTGCAGCATTGTCATACAAAATGCTACATTTAAAATTGAACACCAAGAGATTTATTTTGCTTACATAATTTTACCAGTAATCAGTTATTACTGTTTCCCTGTAAAATTTATATCGCGTTTGCCGTGCAAAGCACCAATATTTTACGGAGAAACACGTGAATGCTTTAATAAGTATGCAACCACTTTAATTATTTTACGTCCACACACGGCACGAAGGGAATAAAATGTAAGGAAGTACTTATGTACATTTATTTCATCATAAGACTAGAGTGGGTTTTGGTGAAATTGTATGCTACAAACGTTTTATTTATTGGTTGACATTAGATTGCCATAACACTTTCGTGATCAAATAATAGTTAAGCTGCCGTTTAATGCTCTGGCAAGTATAAGTATCTTGTACGTGTTTAGTAAGTATCACATTATATTGGTAAAAACGTAAGTGGTTATCGGTAGCTAGTAAGCAGTAGAATATAAACAAAATGTAACCACTGTTGTCTCATCACAGTATATCTGTTGTTTATTACGAGAATTTGAATAAGTTTTTTTGTTCTAAATTGTAAAACGCTAAATTTCATAATTTGCTTCAACTTATATTGTTTTATTATGCCAAGAGACGGCATGAAAAATTCATACTTCTTGTGGTCAGCGACACGCCTACCCGTAACAGCTGCAGTTCAGAGCTTTAAATTGAGGAGCACTGCCACTAGACGCCATGAGACGTAAAGCTGATAAGTACCATGTGAACGTAGTAATGCACACGTTTCTGGTTGGCGGCAGCAATAGGGTATGGCAGTACTTCCCTGGACGAACTCTTTCACAAGAAGCTCTACTGTCCTAAATACTACTTAATCATAACATTCCTGATATGAAGAATGTATTAGTGAGGACTTTAAATATTTTCAAATTTTTGTTCTAGATAAATTTTGACTGTCTCTGTGGCCGAACGGTTACCAAGCCGGACTGCCACGCAGAGGTCCCAGGTTCGATTCCCGGGCCGGGAGAAATATTTGTATGGTGTACAGTTATTTCTCTCGTGAGTTTGGGTGTAATTTGTGGTTGTCTATGTGTGTGTCCAGGGCACCCGCGACACAGGGTTTCCCTAGTGCGAAGCTATGTTGAGTGTGTGCTTTATTATTATATTATTATTATTATAAATTAAAATCGCCAATAATATTTTCTTTCAGAATGGCACTCTTATGGAAATAACAGACAATCGCTCACAATGGCATTTACCAGGATCGTATTGCGTAGACGTTCTCACGAACTTCGGTACCGACGAAAGCCCCGTGAACCCGCGCCCAATGGCCCTGGTTTGCTACCCTGATGAAACTAATGAAGACAGTGCTTTACTTCATATTGTTTATGCTGTTGGTGAGTAAAAGAGTAAAAGTCCTTAGGTTGGTTTAAGTAACAAAATCACAACAATTCGTAGATCTGGTGGAAGTTGATTCTGGCTACTTCATTATTTTATAGTTACTTATTTACCTATTTGCTAACCTGCACGCTCTGCCAAAATATGCAGTCATGTATCAGAAAAAATCGACATTAATACAATAACGGTAACAGAATTTTTGATGACTCATTTGTTTTGAAAAATTTAAAAAACCTTCCAAGTGCGTCAATGTCACTAGACACCGAAAACAAAAAATAACAGGAACACATTGACGTAAGTCAATGCAGGAACATTTCTAATTATGACGTAAATGGAAGTCCAAATGTTCAAGTGTGTATAAATCCATTTTTATGAATTATGATTTGTCGTCTCATTAATAACGACGACAGAGTTTAATCGCTTGGCGCTCGGTTTGACACAAGTATCTCATCTAAACACAAATAGGGCACTGAGATTTTTGTTTGTATCCAAACATTTAAGGACTCAAAACTTTTTCCGATATATGTAGATATATGTGATAAACCTTATATAAAACGAGTAGATTTTGCAGATGGGAATCCATAACGTTAGGAGGAAATAATATTGCATACCCTATGAAAAATGTAATATAAGCTTCCTTCTTATATCGGTAATAAATTAATACGACGTCCATTCGTTAGTTCAGGATGGTGCCCGGTTTAGCAGCAATAAACATTGACTATGCTATTACGAGAAGTAGATATGATAATAACACGAATATGAAGGTATTACGATATGTTTAGCTGCTTGAATGTTTAATACCTACATTTTCTTTACAAAATGTATCTACTCTTCAATTTATTACATATTTATAGCAGTGGTCAGGATTGCCAGATTACTTACGTCTCATAATAACTGCAAATTTCAACTCGTGAACGCAAATTTAAATACAATTTATAAACTTATTGTAGGTACTAATATTATAGGTAATACGAGCGCAGTACATTAGAATGCAGACAAATCAGTGTTGTTTTGCTTTTAAACAACAATATAACGTTTTTTTTGGGTTTAATGACATCAGCAGTGCTCTGCAAGAAACTCTCTGCATCATTGGTGCCGGCACCATAGACTTAGAAACGCAGATTTTTTTATAATATTAAGTGACGGGACGAACAAATCGTGTGCCTGGCGGTAAGCGACACGTCTGTCGCTAACAGTTGCAGTGTCACTCAGAGCTTTAAATCACAAAGATCTGAGGGGAACTGCCTCTGCGCCCGACACCATGAGACATAAGTTGACAAGTTCCATGTGCCTGTAATTTCACCAACACCCTTACCCTTCGAAACCGGAACGCAGTATAGTATACATTACTGTTGGCGGCAGAAATAGGTAAGGTGGCAGTATTTCCCTAGGCGAACTCTTTCACAAGGATGTCTACTGCTACTAAAAGACTCGCACTACGATTAATTTATACCCGTCTGGCAAACCTTTAGATACTTAATATAACTAACAACTGCAGATCCTACGATAAAGACAATTCTTTGTTTCAGGACTAATATTATCAGTGCCGTTCCTACTAGCAACGTTTCTCGTATACGCTATGATTCCCGAGTTGAGGAACCTACACGGCATGTGTTTGATGGCGTACTGCGCTGGTTTGATCGTGGCTTACCCAATGCTTGCGTTTCTCAAGTTGAATGTCGGACAAATCACCGTATCTGAAGGAGTTTGTCTGAGTTTTGGTAAGTATTTACTTCAAGTTCACGCATTGACGACTTGCACTTAAGATTCAACTCTAAGCCACCCGGACCGTTCAAGTTCATGGTATTAAGCACAGGGTTATGTTGACTAAACATAAACATTTCTGTGAATGATGATTTTTATATGAAGGTAATTCTCATAGATACTATAGCTATACTTTCATTGAAAAAATGGAAAGGAAAAACTTACATCCCCATTCCTTGTTTACCATGTGCTGCAATTAATGCCATATGACAATGCTGGATTTTTAATTAACGACATACTAAGAGCGCCTTCAAATTAGATGCTTATAGCAGCGGTGCTGTGATGCATCTGTGGCGTGGCAGCTGCGCTTTATTTGTAATAAATATTTTATGCGTTTCTAAATATGTATTAAAATTAGTAGTATCACCAACGACGCGCCACTGCAGCGCTATTCATGATATGCATCTAATTTGAAGACTCTTACTCCGATGGATTTTACAAGTCATTGATTTTTTCTAAGAACATCTCAAAAATGATAGGCTAATGTTTAATTTCTGGCAATTGTAAATATTTCCGCTGAACTTCAATTTTATGTAAAGCGCGTAGCCTAATTAGTATGATGCGTTGTAATTATTTTAACACTATGAAACTAATGTTTCTGCGTGGCGCACCTAAAAAGAAGACTATTAATTAAATTAGTGTAATGTTAATCATAATTAATTTGGAATGCCGCTCGTTAGTTACATTTAATTAATTGTGGGTAGAACTGGCTGGCTCACTCATATGTAATCAAGTTAATAGAGATTTGCTTGTTAATATCAAAATATTATTCATTTGCACGTATTTGTAATAACGAAACCTTACATAGGTCAAAACGACTGCGTAATTTGATATCTTTATGAAAATTAAGTTCGTTCTGGCGTGTACTGCTAATAAATTGAAATCTATGATGTTATGGACATCAGCATACTCTACAGAAATTATCTAAATCACAAATGTAATTTTCAGGATTAAACACAGAACAATAAATAAAGTAGAAGTGTTGGGGGTGACACGTGTGCCAATAGTACGCGGAGTTCCACGTACTAGAACTCAGTCCGCCATTTTCGTTTTGTACGTTATGATTGTGTCAATTATCTCGCTCAAAATCTCGAAAATTTTGCTGCTTTCCTAAGCAAAAACGATAGTCGCTCCTATAACATTATCCATGTGCCTGTAATGTCACCAGCACCCTTACCCTTCAAAACCGGAACGCAGTAACGATAACATTACTGCTTGGCGTCAGAAATAGGTAAGGTGGCAGTACTTCCCTAGACTAACTCACAAGGAGCTCTGCTACTGCTAAAAAATTTAATAAAAAAAATTAAAATTTTCCATTTTCTGTTTATCGTAATAGATTTTTGAAAGAAGATTTTTTAAACGATTGATGAAAGTTAATAGGCGTTAATTGTTCGTCTTTCTGCTATTGTCGCTAGATGGCAACACATTAAAAGAAATTTCAATTATAAAATTAAACCGTCGTAACTTGCAATGACAGGTATTGATCTTTCAACGATATTCCAACTGGGTACAGCTTAAATTATATTAAAAGTCTAAAATTTTTTACATCTTTCTAAATTAGCAATTACGACTAATCATTATCAAGATTTCATAGTGTTTAACGTTATATAAGTGTGAGTTTAGTGACAGCGGTTCTGATTATATGCATGAAAAATGTTATACAAGTATTTTTGTGTATAATTTTTAATTATATAAAATATAATTTTTACTGCCTCAGGGGCCAAACGGTTACCATGCTGAACTTCCACGCACAGGTCCTGGGTTCGATTCTCGGGCCAGGAGAAATATTTGTACGGCCTATATTTATTTCTTTCGTAAGTTTAGGTTTGATTTGTGGTGTATGTGTGTCCATGGCATTCGTGATGCAAGGTTTCCCTAGTGCGGAGCTATGTGTGTGAAGAAAAATATAATTGTTGATTGGATCATTAGTCATTTACTTCAATCAATTATGCCTTCTATTAAGTATTTATGCAACAATAAGGTACTACGTTTTTAGTTTATCACATGTCGGCAAACACGGGTTTTACATTTTTATGGAAATGCGATATTAACGTGCAATGTTTCTTGTCCAGTAATAAGCCGTAAATAGAGTTAGATATTTGTTTTGTATTTCTTGAAACATAAATGTGTCCGAAACAGTGAGCATATAGTCCGAAAGATGAAAGCCGCCGCTGGCGCAGTATTATTTACCGAGTGAAAAATAGGCGGTGAAACTAAATATATTGTCATTCTGTTTATAACACATGCACACAACAATGAAAGTTCTCTGTAAATTTTAACGGTTTTTGAACATTTTGTTTTAGTGTACATTATGGCTGTTAGAAATTCGTTTGAGAATAAGTAAGATAAATCTGAGTTGAAATAATGTTTTCTTTTGACAAATTACGTTAAAACTGTTCGAATAACGATTATGATGCAAATTGTCAATTTTGGTTTTTAGTGACTCAGTGCACATCATGTCAATTTACAATAGTTTGCAATACTACATTTTATTTGTAAACAATCCCTGTATCTTAAGGTATTTTTTAATGCCATTAACAAATGCTGATTGTACATTTTTCACAGTCAGGAATTCTTCAAAAATTAAACATTTTTTTCGGGAACAAATAAAAATCTCGTAAATGTCTAAACCAACCACCACAAGAACCAACATTGCATGTTAACTACATGGTCACACTACTTCCATACCAAATTGATTTTCGCTGAACTAATGTTTATTCTAAATGGGCCGTTACAATGTCATCTAGCTAAAAAAACTTTTTGGGCCACTGTATATGAAAAGTAAATCAGGTTTATTAAGATATTGTGATACTGTGGTTTGTTGTTCTTGTCGAGTTCAAATACCAAGTCACGTGCAATAAGAGAATGAATGTCGGGATCGTATCTCATATAAAAACTTTTCGTGTAGGATACCAGTATATTATTATACCAAAGCACACCACAAAAATGGTGATCACAATTCCGTGACAGAAGTTCTTGAAAAAAAAAACAAATTCAGTTAAGGTTTGAAGGTATAGCTATTATAACTGGTTGGATTTTTAAATACATACTTGCGTATAAATTTAATATGACATTAAATTTGTCACGCTTTTCGGCGAAGGAAAACATCGTGATGAAACCCGCACGTTGTTGAATATTCACAACCCTCGGAAAACGTGTGAAGTCCCCAACCCGCATTGGGCCAGCGTGGCGGGCTATGGCCTAACCCTCGTCTGAAAGGAGACCCGTACCCAGCAGTGGGACGTATAAAAGGGTTGATGATGACACGTGTATATGTCACGCCGTTTTCCCGTCGGGGTAGGCACCGACAACCACCTTTCACTTGCTATGTCCTGACACACATCGTTCGTCTCATCAGTACGCATCAATGTTTTGATACTTGCTAAAAGAGTACCCACAGACCACATAAATACCAGTAAGTACCTTTAGCAAGTATCAAAATATTGATGCGACTTGATCTGGCTTTTCTTGAGGACGTTTTCAATTTAGTCATAATAAGGTCACTTAGGTCGGCTGTTACCAACTAGCTCACTGCTACGATTTGATCTGTAAAACGTTTCGCAATTTACTTATCGTAACGAATGACCATAGAAAACACAAGACATAAATATCAACGATAAATATACAAAGGGATAAATAAACGAAGATAATCGTTAAGATATTTAGTAATGTGAGTGGGTGCAGATGTTAATACTAATAGAAGAAATAATGCTGCTGAGTTTAATTAACGCTCAAACATCGAAAATCCATCTTATTCTGTCACCGTCATTTACCCATTTATATTGATAATCAACTTTTACGATGTGTCAAGAAACGCCTATTTACAATAGTGGCACTTTGGTTTCTTATTAGAGGTTTAGAAGGAAATATTATTACTTACTAAAGCGACGTAATGTCATCATTACTCCATCATCATATCTCATTATTACTCATTCAGTAGACTACGGTTTTAAGGAAAAACTAGTTCGCTGGCTTATCAATTACATACTAGGGCTTTGCAATAGAAAGGTTCTTTCGTAGCAGCAGTAGAGCTCTTTGTGACCTTAACCTTACTTATTTCTACCGCCAAGCAATAATGTGAGCATTATTGTGTGAGCGTTCCGGTTTTGTAGGGTAAGCGTGTTGGTGAAATTACAGGCACATGGGACTTGTCAACTTACGTCTCAGGGTGACGGGCGCAGTGGCAGTGCCCCTTAGATCTTTGCGATTTAAATCTTTGAGTGGCACTGCAACTGATATGGACTAGCGTGTCGCTTCGCTTAGTACAAGGCGCACGGCTTGCTCATCTCGTCACTTCGTATTTTAAAAAACAACTTTACTTGTACGTATGTTGATAGTTTTTATACGGGTCATAGTCTGAAACAAGAAATCAACAAAGAAATACCAAAGTCTGTAGAATTTTTAATTTCAATGAACAGGCATATGAAATATGACTGCCGACCAATGGCCCTCTTTAAGAAAGAGGTGGAGTTGTGAGACAATTCAATATGTTTTTGTCAAAGTTGCATACTTTTAATCGCATTACATTACTAATAAATATGCTAAATATGCAAAAGTGTAGCGCGTGAAAATCTACGAATGATTTTTTTTCTTTAAAAATAAACCTACTTCCCGTAAACACTCAACTCCAGATTCAGGTTAATAAGGTGTTTTGATAACATTGACCTATTTCTAACGAAGCAGGCGATATATTGATAAATAATTTTATTTTCTGAATCAACATTAACCTTCTTTGGACCAATAAGATTAAAGGCATTCGGAGACATTTTACATAGAGGAAAAATATTTTGAATATAGGCAGGAAATCTATATGATAATTATAGGATATGTGTCTGTCCGCACGTAAACGGGTTCTATTTTCAGTTACTTGCAATTCCGAAGTGTGTACTTCATTTAGTACAATAATTAACTCCATCTTAAACACACTACATGAGGTACTATACCTGTGGATCAACACGTAGTCATTAAAAGTTGTAGGTACCTAACTTTTTAAAATTGTCCATAATGAAATTTAAAAGTATGAAATATATACACACCTAGGAAATGAAACTATTTTTTTTCATGCAAACTAACGTTTCGAGCCATTAAGTCATTGTTTCGAGCCCATAGTCACGGGTGACTGTCATAAGATCTGTAAAGGGCCGGAAACGTTAGTTTGTCTGAAAAAGCAAATATACGCGATTTAGATTCGAAAAAATAGTTTCATGTATTTTTTTAGTTTTATTTACTTTTAGTTAGAGTTTTACCCTGACCAAACAAATTTATTATAATTATTATAAATTTAATCTAAAATATTTACATATTTGAAATCTCGGAACTATTAATATTTTGCCATTTAATTATAGCCAATTTATTGTTTCCACGAAATTATTTAGAGCAGACTCCTGCAATATGTAAACCCATCAGTGGTATATCTATTCTCGTATCTCATAAATCGTTCAAATAGTCGATCCAACAAAATCTCTCTTATTCAAACATTTTTTTCAGCTTTCATCATCTACTATGCGTTTCAGACAAGTTTCTTCTGGCTTAACGTCATGTGCTTCGACATCTGGAGGACTTTTAGGTACGTAATAAATATCATAACCTATTAAAGTAACGAATATACAAGAAAGAAACGAATGGTAGAGTGGAGAGCTTAAGGGCAAAGTTTTAACTGACGAAGATTTTGTATCATCATATATCATATATGTATAAAAAAATCTAGTAACCACTTACAACAGATATATTCTAGTGTCTTTTAGTTTTAAAATAGCAAGTTATAGGTACTTTGTAAACATCAAAACTTTAATTTGCTTCTTTAGAACGCAGAGAAATAAACCATGTCCACCTCTGCGTTTCCACCTAATAAAGATGCCCTTGCAATTGTTTTTCATTGTGCTAACGTGTTGCAAGTAATACAGCTCTAATTTTCAAACTGCATTCGACATTGAGGAAAAGGGAAACGGCTTCTTTTAAATCAAACTCACCATGCATGCATTTACGTATTGCGTTTGAAATTTTTATTCATGAATTAGAAATTTGCTAAAAGAACATAATATATCATATGATCTAATCCGCTCTCTTAACTATTTTTATTAATATTCTAGTAGTTATTCTACATTTTTTTTTTTCAAAATTTAATACTAAATGTATCGTTATCATATCAATCACAGATTGGAATTGCAAAAGATAAAACATCACTCCTTATCAATTTGTTGTAGTCATCGTTGTGTCATTACATTTATATAATGATTTTTTAATACATAATATATTTGATTGGTAAATTTCGATTACATACAGGGTTATTTGTAAAATACTAAACCCCGTAGGACTATGTTACTATCATCATAAACAACAACAACTTCTGTGCCATGAATTTTAATAATTCAGCATATTTTACCTTAAAAAAATTAAATAGATCGCTCTAAACGATGACAATTATGTATTGTAACAAAAGAAAGCGCTAACATAAATATCAGTCCAATGCAAAACTGGAAAACGCAGGACGGGGGTGGGGGATGTCGGGAAGGACGCTTGGACGTTTAAATTTACTACCAAATATAGATCTAAAAAATACCAGATAGTCAGATCTAATAAATACCAAATACCAAAAACTTAAAAGTTTATTTTTGGTAAATAACAACAAATAATCCTGTATATAACTAATACATAAACATACAATAAACGAATAGGTAGATCTCGGTAATTCCTTGTACCATAATTTTATAAATTATTATGTACCCATTAAATAGAAGAAACATTTTTTTTAAGAAACAAACGATTATCTTTCAAACAGTAATTAGTTATTAATTTTGTTAAATACTGGGTTTCCATACCAAGTTGATTGTTCGGGTTACAGGTCTTGTACACCGGCTATCCCTGGTTGCGGAGGGCCTCTGTAGGTGCAAGTTGGCAGGTCTAATTGATGTCGTTCGAGGCATGAATGTTGGCTTGCTAGCAATAACATTATCCATCTTAAATAGTCGCTAAAAGTCCTGACCTGTTTGTACAAATGCGTTTTTTTTTTACTTTATCTTATCTTTAGTATTTACTTTTGATATCTACTAAATATGGGCTTTAGGAGGAACTAGACACTTAGTGCATGATATCTGGCTAGAAATTATGGTAAAAAATATATTAGTTAAAAACACAATTTAAGGGTACATTGCAAATTAATTAAGTACGGCATAACAAAATCTTTGGAACCTTGGTGAAATTACAATCACATGGGACTTTTCAACTTATGTCTCAGGGTGACGGGCGCAGTGTTAGTGCGCCTCTGAACTGTGCCATTTAAGGCTCGAGTGGCACTGCAACTGTTATAGCTTACCATCAGGCCCACATCGTGTTCGTCCTGTCAATTGATATTACATAAAAAGAAAATAACCTCTGTACGAGTAACTATTAGTAGGTGTACCTTGTAGTAAATCCTACGCAAGTAGAGAGATATATCAAGGGTTCGATTGATGGTGTCATTCCAATAAATTATATTTTGGGTGAATGTCGCTTCATGAGAACGTAAAGAACTGCTTTATCCATCAATTTAATGACATTGCAAAGAAAAAATATAGAAAGCTGGTAGAATAAGCAGCAACTGCTCATGTAGAGTTTGTCACCGTTGTGACAGAGCCGAGTAACTGTCATTTTACTTTAGCGCTTTATTATGCAAAATAATAATATAAACTAATATATTATTTATTTTCTTATAAGTAATACAAAACTTAAGTTATATAATTAAATTAGACTTCATAGTAAATATTACTATTTTGTTGGAATTGAATGCAGCGTGCTCATTTATAAAATTTACTTAAACCGCCAAATTTGTACTTGAGTACTTGTTAATTTTTTCGCAAAAAACTTTTTTTTAAACTCAGTTTTCATAGGATTGCGTAATCCGTGGACACTTTTGCGCACAAATTGCCACCGGTTCTTGCCTCAGCTACGTGGAAATCCATTTATTTTCGCAAAAATGCACGAATTGCGCTAACCTATGACGAGTATACTTGTTGACAGACGTTATGTACAATATTGTTTGTTTCTTTTAACGCATTCCTTTTTAATACAAAAGGACTGGTAGTGTCTCCTCCCAACAACAATGGTAAGCTACAAAAAAGGCATGCAATTAATCGAATAATTGAAAATATGCGTCTCGTCATAATAAGGCGAAATTAATGAAACCATTATGATTACTTTTTACTACTTCCGTATAGCAACCTTATTTGTCTACGTGGACTCGTCATAATGAAGCGAAATAAATGAATCTATTATCATTACTTTTTAATGCTTCGGAATGGCTACCTTATTTGTTTACGCAACAGTGGCCGTGTAGAGTGCAAATTGAAATGTGACTTGTTAGTTCTTTGTTTTTTCAGGTAGTTGTTGGTGACTAATTGTAGAAAATGAATAATTTTGGTAACAAGATCTAGTCTTAGTCATATTTATATTTATGCAAGTCATTACAAACGTCGTATACACCATGGACATTAGAGAAACGCTAAACATAGGTTGAATCATGGTAACAATGTTCATATTATGCACCACTGGCTACAGGCACTGGCATATAGGTACTTACCAGAACGTTCAATTTGAAAAAAGAATCACTTCAATCATATTTTGATTTTTTTTCGTTTTATGATACCGAGAGACGGGATTTAGCATATTGATAAAGTAAACGATTACACGTTCTGGTATGTTATGTGACCAGATGAATGTTGTAATCATAATTAACCTTTTTTAAGTGTTACACATCCATGAGTATATTTCGCAGACGAGGTAGAAAAAATAAGTAAATAATTAGCTAATTATAATTTAATACAATAGTTAATAAGGACAAATTGGTAGGTGTCTTAGAATTACTTTGTCTATTTTCTTTCTTTGTAATATACCTGTCTAAAATAATTTATTTCTAGAACAGAAGTGCACTGGTCTTCCCTTCATTATTGACGCGCGAAACATAAAAATATAAATAATTGTATGTAAAAATTATGAAATAAAAAACCTGCAGCGGCTACCGCGGCGGGAGCATGAACAAGCGGCGCGATTGCAATCGGTTCGTGCTGTACGGAATGTACGCGTGGGGGGTGCCCGTGGTTCTCACATCTGTCACCATCGCCATGCAGTTCAGCGAGCTGCCGCCGAACATCATCACACCAGGATTCGGTGTTAGGCGCTGTTGGTTTGTTGGTACGTATTATTTTGCAACAGAGCAGAGACAGAGCAACTTTATAAATCTTTCTATGGTGGTAGCTAATGAAATCACTGTTTAAAATGTTCATGCTAATTGTACAGAATGGATAGCAGAGCTGGCGTACTTCTTCACGCCAATTTTGGCATTGGTGGTTTGCAACGGGGTGCTGTTCTCGGTGACGGCGCATCGAATCCGCTCCATCCGCCAAGAGACGGCGATTCTGAAGGGTGCGGAGTCCTCACGCAGCGACAAACTGAAGCGGGATAAACAGAGGTCTGAAATTTTATACAAATATTCCTGTTTTGAAGAATTATGAAAAAATTATGACAGTTTAAGGATATGGTCGGCGACGACCACTCGGCGACCATATAACTCTTTGTATATCCACATAAGACTGATCCCACAGATATATCTAGCGTGCAGTGTTATTGCTTGACTTGCCGTTGATGTAGGTACGTATCTAAAATTGTTATAAGTACATGTATATAAATTGAAATGTTTTCTTGCTACAACTCTGGCTAACATAGAGTTAAAGAAGTTAGATTGAACTTATGATCTTATGCTGACCCAGAGCTAAAATTATTATCAAACAAAGATTTGCATAATTTATTACAAATACTGCGAAGTGGACTGAGTTTTGCTGTTTATTTTGTTACTTACATTTTTTTTAATTTATTGAGGGACAAACAATTACGCATATATGAAAAAAATACATATTTTAAAATTAACTTATAAATAAACCTATAGTCCCCTAAATATACATTAAATAAAACAAAAAGTAGGTAAACAGACAATTTGACAGACAATAAACAATTTCAAGTTATTAATAGATGTAGCCACAAACATATAGATATAACACATGCAACAAAAAAAAACTCGTGCACAAGAACAACGAAACAGAACAAACATATTCAGCAATTAAAGTTTCTATCGAGTTCTTAGGTTTTCGCGATTGTTACACATAGGAAATGAAACTATTTTACCGGATTTAAATCGCGTATATTTGTTTTTTCAAACAAACCGACGTTTCGGGCCCTTTACAGGTCCCATGGTCATGGTTGACCGTGTCCATACGCGATTTATAATAATAATAATAATAAAACCATTTATTTCAGGCCATAGCCCATAAGATAATAGTGTTAGTTACAAAAGAAAACCTTAGAACTATGTTAGTATGATTACATTGAATTTTGAATATATTGACAGAAAATTTAAATATTAAAATTTGGAAAATGCACAATTATTGCTTAATTTGACCCGTTGTAATATTTACCCAAAACTTTAAAATTTTACAGTCAAAACGATGGGCAAACATCCTCAGGATGCCATTGCCACTGTCACGCACTCGCTTTAGCAGAGATGACACTCTTTTACGCCTGATGGCATAAAAGTCATCTGTTCGCGCTTCAGCAAACATGCACTGCAGTGCCGTGGCAGTCCCAACAGCATCCTGAAGATGTTATTATATTGTACTCGTATTGAATTGTATGTACGCTGTGTATATCTAACCCATAGACTACTCGAGTACATTGACTGACAAAAAGCTTTGAAAAGCACAACTTTCACGTCTTTTGTACAACGCGTGAATCTACGGGCCAGCATGTTTCCTCTCAAAGCCAGCGCTCTGCGCTCCCTTTCAATATCTAGATCATCTTTCATGCTGTCAGTAATAACGTGACCAAGATATCTAAACCTATCAACTCTATTAAGAGGCGTGCCACCAAGCGTTAACGATGGTACAACATCTGGATAGCATTTACCTGCCTTTACAACAAGCAGTTCACTTTTTTTTTAGTTGTACTTCAGCCCATGCTTGGCTGCATACCTCTCACACACTTTGAGTAATTTCCTGAGCGCATTAATAGACGGCCCCAGCAGCACCATGTCGTCAGCATAATTGATATTATTGACGCATTTAAATCCGGAAAAATAGTTTCATTTCCTAAATTAAAGTTTCTGTTTTAAATTATTGTAGTTAGGTTTAATATTTTCTGCTTTTTCAGTGTTTTTCCATTAAAACAAAACAAAAAAACCGTTACTTTAAATAGTGAATTAAAAAAATGTCCCAACCAAATAGCATACATGGAGCTTGGAAATCGACAAAGACATTTTTCTAAGTTATCAGTCTCCACTCGTCGGTTGCTTTGGGGTAGTGCTGCCGATATCAATAGAATCTTTGTCTTGCAGAAACGTGCGGTTAGGGCAATTTACAATCTGGGCCCCAAAATATCTTTGAGCGATAAGTTTAAGGAAATTAACATTCTTACACTAGCCTGACAGTACATTTATGAAAATGTAATTTATGTTAAAAGGAATAGTAATTTCTTTATGAAAAATAGTGACAGACATAACATTAATAAGAGGAATAAAAATAAACTAGCTGTTCTTGATAGTCGTCTTCACAAAGGAAAAAACTTAGAATCATAACGCATAGAAGCCTAGTCCGCACACGCTAAGTGAGGCAAATTGAAGCGCGCCAAAAGGGCCTACACGAGCGGTTGGGCCTTCAGTGCTCAAGGTCAACTTGCACCGCGAACAGGTCAAGAATTTTAGCTAAAAATTACGAAATGTGCGGTAAATGAGTGTAAAAGTACGCCAGACAAACATAAAATAGATACTAACATCACATTCCACAAGGAAGAAACGCGTTTCAACTTGTATTTTTATATAAATATTCACTAAAACCGAAAATTAACCTACTACTAAAACTAGCCTACGTGAATTTGATTTTTGCCTCACTTGTGACAGTTCGTTTGATATGAAACTATCATTCTATGCGTTATTATTCTAAGAGAAAAAATCATTTAAGGGGCAATGTGTACGCTTCTATAACAAGATTCCGGTTGATATACAAAATTTGCCTTTCACGAGGTTTAAAACTAGAGTGAAACAAAAACTTTATATTAAAAATTATTACACAATTTCTGCGTAGGTACTTGGATGACAAAAATCCGTGGTAGTAACCCGTTTAGCCCATGGAGGTAGTCTCGATCTCTGATGTTTCAAAACAAAAAAAATATATATTGTAAATGTTGAATGTGTACAAATGTTATTTACAAAGAGCACCCCTAGAGTGTCTTGCTCATTCCTCTCAGGGGAATCAGCCTTACGAATGAGCGGTAGAGTTTAACCATTGTGACGATTTCAAGTGTAATAATGCTTACCTATGAAATAAAGACAATTTTGAATTTGAATTTGAACTCGTACACTGTAATAATATTTTATGCAATCGTTGCGTAATGAAGGTTGTTAAAGTCGAGCACCGTTTTTGGGACACGAGGCTTTTCGAGTGGCCTTAGTAATAGGTGCGAGATTTAAAGATCTAATTATGTAATGATTGCATGTAATATTTTTTTCTACGAGTAAATAAAATAATAAAACAATATTTTATAAATAATAAATTATAAAGCCTAACGCTACAAAACAAAAAACCAAAGACAGAATAGAATTGGCCAAGTATAGCATAAAATATTGCCCACAGACCACATAAATACTTTTTTTTACTAGTGTAAATATTAACCAATATTTTTTTAAATAAAAGTTTATGGTCCAGTTGCAAGATCTTTCAAGAGGCCAATTTATCCAGAGTTAGCAGTAGAGAGTTTGAGTAGCATCATATTTGAAATTTTAATGAGCAAAAATACGACGTTCTTTATTGAAATTAATTATACTTCTGTGTACAGATTTTTTTGGTCAGTAGCGAGTGTCATTGACAACAGAATCTGGATCAGAACTAATTTGATTCAAGCTCAAGTGCGATCTAAGGTAACGGTTTTTTTTAATCTTGACATTTCTAAAAAACGCTCACTTCTGGTACAGGCTTATGGTTCCATGAATGAACCAATTCTGAAAACATTTATGCCACTCCTTCGTGACAACCCCTAAACATATTTTCATATTCTTCTACAGCCTCTTCAGTATCATCAGAGGCACTTTGCACACGCGCCACTTTGGTTGGTTTCGGCTCATCTCGAAACAAAGCAGCAATCGAGCCTATGGGACGCTTTATTGCTGCTCTGTTTTGGGATCGTAACTATAAATCTATGTTTTGTCACCTGTTACTATGTCCCACGCCAGATTTGACACCCCTTGGCTGAATCTGGTAAGCGTGGCATTGCACCAAGTGACGCGATTCGTTTTTTGAGCCTCAGTCAAATTGTGTGGGATCCACCGCGAGCACAGCTTTTTCACACCCAAATGTTTGTGTAGTATTGATTGTATTTGACTCATGCCTATGCCTAAAGGTGCCCAAATCTAAGCGGATGATTGCTTCCTTTTTTAATAAAACTGGACACGTGGCTACTGTTGCTTTAGAGAATCGTTGTATCGTGAACAGTAATTGGTACGCGACCATTTTGTTTGCCGGAAGTTATTAACAAACTCCGCAAAAATAACCGTAAACGCTGTATCATCTTACACCACGATAATGGCAGTTCACACACGCCAGACAGACAAATGAATTTTTGTAGGCGACCTTATGAGCCATCCCGCGTACAGTCTCGACCTGGCACCTTGTGACTTATATTTATTACCAAAAATTAAGAACCAGTTACGCGGTGAACGATTTTCATCACCTGAAGAGGCTGTCGAATGTGAGCAGCTAGCGCGTCTTAGTAGCGGTCTAGTTGAAAGCCAGAAGCGAGGAGACGCGTGGGGCACGTGAGTTGCACTTTAAGATGGAAGTTATGTCCGAACATTGAGGACACTGCGACTGACATCTCCGACACGAGCCCGGAGAGCTAGTAGAGGATAAGCTAGATATCCTCCGGTCCCTCCAGCCACTTAGGTTATCGGGAACTGGAGAGACGTCGTTTTTTGATGTCGGGAAGTGAGCATGAATTACAGCTCCGCCACTAATGAGGAGATTTGATAGTGGACTTGGAGTCAACGGCTTAGCGGTGACAACCATTAGTTGTGCAATGCGTAACGGGAAGTGAGCGTGCCTACAGCTTCGGTACCTATCTGAAAAATAGGGAGGGTACTGTACGTGCACCCGGGCCGGCTCACCCGAGGCACTAGCCTCTCGAAGAACCGGATGAAGTCAAGTGACAGAGGTCTGTGATAACCCTGTATACTGGCTGATCTGGTGTCAGAACCTGAACTTATAAAGTTCCTGTGCGCGCACAGGTTATAGTGCCCTTCTCGTATACCTCCGGGTCGGTAGGGAGGGTCACACATAATCAAAACTAACGTAGACAAAATATGGGGCTGGTCTGGGCTGGTCAGAGTTTCCGCTGATCGACTTTCTGGATACAGATACGACTTTATTAGATATACGGCTGCGAATAGTCGACTACCACGACGACTAGATGGAGACGACATGAGAGCATTAAATCCAGGCTTAGGTTCGATTTCTTCTGAGTTGATAGAGGAGCTAGAACGTGACAATGAAGAGTCACTCTCACTTTCTATCTCCTGTTCTCAATGTTCAAGGTCAGATTCACTTAACTCCGATTTGTCAACGTTTCCGATGATTTGTACAACCAAATCGCATGTTAATGTCCCAAAAAACAAAAAAACAAATTAAGTAAAAAAACAACTAATCTAGTCATTTCCATCCTCACAAGCACGATTGTGTTTTAAGACTTATGACTGAATAAAAACCAAAATTTCTAACAATTCACTGTTTAATAATTTTTTTATATAAAATATAACATATGCTTAATAAGAAAATATACCATTAGATCAGAAAACACGAAATGTTGAAATTTAAAAAAATCTTGCTTTTCGACCTCCCATCCGTCACGTACACGCCCACACTTGTCACTCTCGGCACAGGTGTGTACCTAACTCTAGAACACGGCCGCACTGCTTTAACAGCGAATATTAATCGAATGCACAATGTCGATTCGACGCGGTAAACTTTAATACTTTTATACCTAAATTTTTTCAAAGTTGGACACACGAGCGTATCATTCTGTGCTGTAAGGGCTATGTACCACAAAATCTATCAAAAAATTTATTTCACTGAAACTTTACCTGCTCTGGTGAACTCTTTTGCTGCAGCATACTACTTCGTATCTTTATGTATTTCGTTTTTCTTTTTTTTTCATTCTATGCACTGTTAGTTTTGTACTTTTGTAATAACTTTCAAATAAAAAAATATGTGTATCGCATTCATCATACATGTTTACGTTTTTAAATCTCAGATACGGCCTGTACCTGAAGCTATTCATCGTGATGGGTATCAACTGGATGGTAGAAGTGATCGGCTTCGCGGCTGGAGGCTCTAACTGGTACTGGATCATCATAGACCTCTCCAACATCTCACTCGGGGTGTTTATATTCTTCATCTTCGTGTGGAAAAACAAAGTTCGCAATCTCGTGCGAAAGAAGTAAGTGCCTTGTTATTTTAATTATCTTTTTTTTTGCTTTTTGTTATTGACTGTCCATAATTAGCTGGACTGTGTCGTGTTTACAACCATATAGTTCATTACTAACGATACTTGAAATGCTACTGTTGTATACATGTATGTTAGTTACTAACACATAAATTGAGTTATTAATTACATTACGTACTATATACCATCTAAAATACATATGTCCCATTATCTGTATCCGGATTTCACGTCAATTGATGTGTTGACATTAATACCTTTTCGGTATCGTGTTACCACAGTGGCTAGGTAGACAAATGTTAAATAATGTGAACTGTAAAATAATCTAATGGGGCTAGCGAGATAGATATACCTACTTGTCCCCGGCAGTGTATTATTTTGCCTTTGTTGCAGACATCCGCGTTTTATATGCTTTTTTAGAAAAATAATTCTCAAACAAAGCTCATAATTGAACTCTCCTGGCTACATATATCATAGTTTTAGAGAAATGTAAAAAATCGAGGAAAATCCATAGAGACCATAAATTCAGATTATCTCCTTTCCTGTAAATGATTTTTCATTAAATATTTCATGTTATGATAGAAAACTACTAAAAGCGCCAATAAGTCCAAAAAATAAAAAAAACCAAACTATCCTAGACCACAATTCATTTTTTTCTATAGTTTAATCCATTTTTTTCTGAAGACTACATGTTTTCAACGCGGATTTGTTAATTACAGTAATAAGTACTACCATAAAAAAATCCATTTCTAATGCCCTCCCCCACTTCGTTGTACTTTATATTCATTGAGTGTAGCACATTAGTAATACGTATGTTACAATGGAACAAGCCGGTGAATCAAGGAACAAGTTTTGACGTTGTGATCGAGAGCACCATACACGACAGTTGGATCGGAATCGTCTGATCCTTATTTGTCCTCTTTGACACATAGTACATGCCACAAACATAAAAAATCTCTACCTATAACTGATAAAGTTCTTCGCCTTCGAAGAGTGACCACGGAAAGTGTTCGTTACCATCATTACCGATCAGAAGACATTAGTGTTGAAGCTGCTGATATCACGCTAGCAACAGACGAAATCATTCTGCAATCCCATAATGACGAAAATGAATGAGCTTTCAGCATTTGCCAAGATAATTTATCTTTATTCACAGAACGTAATGCACACACGTGAATATTATAACAAAATATGTAAATACTATGTAACGTACATTGTTTTAAATTTTATTTATTTTTTATTTTTATTATTTTTGACATACTTACTTCAATTTAATACATTTATTTCATATTTCATTTTAAATTTAACTAACGTAGCTTAAAAATGAAAAATTCAATGAATGTACCATATGGACTATGTTATCTGAACCTCATAAAGGAATGTGAATTTTTGTGGGCTACCAAAGCTCCCACAATGTATCAATAAAATTTTATATTTACTAACACAAGTCTATTCATATTCAAAGTAAATATATTGCTAATTTTGTTGTTGTTGTTTTAACACATAACCCTCCATTGATTCACGAAGTCGGGTAAAAATTTATACATTTTGTGACAACCCTATTTCCATAGAAATCTATAAAAGCCTTAGAAACGCGGTATCTCCGAGATCTTCCGAGATAAAAGTTTACTTTTTCTTTATTCAATAGATGCATTAATGTAGTATATATTGAAGGTAAAAAAAATGCTAATTTAGTACGGTACGGTTAATTTTATAAAATGTATTTTTGAAATTACAAAATATTTTTTTCTCGCTTTTTTGTGCGACGATTTTTACATTTAATAAAGTTTAAATAGTCAGTCAATTTGTTTTTTATACAAAGGGATGTTTCACATATTTCGGGAAATACAGGCAAAAACATTTTTCTTGAAGTCCAGTGACCTTTCGAAAAAAAATTATGTCTCCATAATAAAAGTAAATGTCTAAACGGTTGTTTATTAGTGTAATTTAATAGGATTTAACCTATTGAAATCGAAGCGAGGATACAAAACGAGGATGTCTGCAACTAAGGTAAAATAACACACTGTGCAACGCTAAAGCGTTTTGCCAAATAGTGTGTTAGGTACCTATCAAAGACTAAGGGTCGTATTCTAGAACTCTACTCAATGCTCAAGTGACGATTGCAATGGAAACACAAACACTGGAAATACGACCCTAATGGCAGGTTGGCAGGAGTATGATTTCGAGTGCTTTAAACCATACTCAAATCCTGACTTGAGCATTGAGTAGTGTTCTAGAATACGACCTTTAGACAACGACCACTCCATATAATGTTGCAAAAATGATTAAGCACATGTGCACCAATATAATGCAAATTTGCATTACAAGTGCGCGAATAAACATATTATTAGCCTATACCTTTGTGTAACTAGCGACAAAGTGTAATAGCATTATTAATTTCCCTTATTGTAGCTAGAGTTTCCTGATATTTGCTAAAGCGTTGGACCGTCACATGCAGTCCTTCCTGTCCTGCTAACACTTGTACGATGTGGTTCCCTATTTTACTGTATTCACAATAATTGGTACTACGATTTGCACTCCCTAGCTTTTGATTGTTTGTACATGTTTGGCGAAGTATAAGTATTTGCTCATGTTTTGTCCGTAAATGTTGTTATTTACCATGGAATGTCCTTACCAAAAAATGACCTAGTTTCAAAGTTTACATTGATCACCTAGCAATCAATTTATCATTGTTTAATTAAACGTTACGCATAATGGGCAGATTGTCGCTTAAAAGCAACAAGTATATCGGCAGGTACAGTAGAATGCGAAAATAAAATCTAGGGTAGCGTGCGAATAGAGCTATATATATAGCGCCGGTAGCTATCAGCGTGGTTTCATCACTAAAGTAGCTAATGATGTAATAAAGCAAATGAATAAATTCTTGTACTATGTAAGAATTTTGTGTGTTAAGGTTTCGGGTATTCAAAAGTCACCCGTATATAGAACAAAATAACAAAATGTCACCAAATATGTTTGTTCCTATACGTCTATACGAAATATGCATAGATGCGATTCTTGTTTGGGTTTTACTATAAGTACTGTATTTTACTGTGCAAATAACCTTCCATAATTGTTACTTAATGAAATTTAACCAATAGCTTAATAAAAGTTATATGATTGCCAGGTTCGCGAAGTGGCGTGGCGAACCTGTCGAGGGTCGCACGGCATTCTCTGACTCCAGCACCGGTCGGTGGGCCACACGATCCAGCTCGGCCCCTACGGAAGTCACCAGAGTTTCCGCTGACGAGGCTGCTATTCGGCTTAAGGATATTAACTGATTTAGTTGGTGAGTTGTTGCTTTTAGGATATTGACTGAAGGCACACAATGAGCCGTTGATGAACAATTGGATTCAAATGAGCAGTAATCTGTACTATAAGAAAAATAAATACAAAAGTGTAGTGGATTTGTAATCTAGGTTTACTAAGCATATCTGCGTGTGACGCATCTTTCTATGAAGTTCCGTTTTTTTTATTATGTTAATTGTTATAGTTAGTAATAATTTTGTTTGTTTTCAGGCACGGATACCTATGACACGAAGCCAAAGACTCCTCAAGGCGTGTGAAAACCCCACGTATATGTAATTGTCACTTTTGTATTGCTATTCAACTTCAAATTATTTGAATATTTCATAACTTTTTTGCCTGATGGGCTTATTGCAAAAGCGCGCAGACTAAAAATTGGCCTGCAGCAGGGCGTGACAGTCATGTAACTATCGGTGTGACATATTCGAAAAATGCTAAATATTTATAGCTCCTTAAAAGTTTTAGTTTCTATAAAAAAGGTTGGTAGAGCTCTTTGTAATCTGCTTATGAAATGCCTCCAAGAATGATAAGGCAATGTGAACCTAAGTGGTTTCATGTGCTAACTCGCGAGGGATATAATTATTAAAATTCCTTATGAAGGAAGCCCCCCCCCCCCCCACACACAAGCGTCTTTCGAGCGTCAGCGTCTTGCCAACGCACGAACAGTGTCGTCGGCGCGTGCGTGCGGTCACAAGATGTTCACGCTCGAAAGACGTCCACGTCTCGTAGACGTGGGGATCTCTAAAATGTGCATTTATAGGTACATATTGAATTTAGATATCCAATGTACGAGTGAAAAATTTATTTACAATTCCGCAATATAAATATAGACTTTAATCCCACCTCGAAGTACAGCACGACTGAATCTTTTAGATTTATATTCAGTTTAGTCTGTTCAATTATCGCACGCTAAAGCACGGTGAAGAATAACGTCATGAAGAATCATGTTATCAATCAGTTTCTAGTCTTCGAAGACGTGTGAAATCCTTAATCTACATAATATATCGAGTCTACATATGCCACTGTGCAACGAATATGGATTAGTACTTAATCGTGACAACCAGGGATAGATCTAACTTGTCGGCTTGAGAATTCTACAATTCCTTGTTTTGTTGCTTAGTTTTTATTAATCTTTAGATACCTCTTTTGTAGGAAGTGATGTTCCTATTATAGTTAGATTATAGATACCTACTCTATACTTGAATGAAATTGTGGGGTGTATTTAATAAGGCACATTTCGTCTGTTTAAAGGTAAAACCACATAAGTGACATTTTTCACAAAAATCTTTATTTATGTAGAAGGTAAGAAAATCACTATCTTTCTGCAAAGTGTGAAAGTTTTCAATAAAAAAGTCTATAAACTTAATAAGAATTTTATATGCAGAAAGATGGTGAATTTCTTACAACTGGTACATAATTTGGAGATGCTTTTGTGCAAAATGTCACATAGTGTGGTTTTTACCTTTAAACAGACGATTTATTACACTACAATATTGGCTGATAGAATTATTGGCGGTAAATTACACCTCTTTCGCCTTTTCATAAGCTATTGGTAATTCATGTTAATTGCTAAACTATTCGTAATTCATATCCTCGTGTTCCTTTCTCTTTCTCTCTCTCTCTCTCTCTCTCTTTCTCTCTCTCTTTCTCTCTCTCTCTCTGTTGGCCAATATGTAGAACAGTGTAATAGAATAATATTAAGGTTCAGTTTGTTTACAACAACATCACGAGTTGCATAAAAGATCTTTTAATTTAATGAACTATTGACTATAATACTGTTATTCTACTTTATCAAACAAAAACTAGAGGCAGTATTAATGGAGCAGTGAAGTTATTAAAAAAATGTGTAAGCTAAGATTATCTAAATCTTATTGTGTATAGTCGTAGATATACGAGTATTAGCAAGTGCTCGGAATTGCATGTGTAGTGATGTACTGGTCGCATAAAAACCAAAACAAGTAAGTAGATGAGTTATTCTTATACAATGACAGAATAATAATTTTGCATGTGGTTCTAATCACTATCATATGAGTTTTCTTTTTCTGAAGTGTCACAAGTATTGATGAGTAAATGTTCGCTGATTAAATCCCTTCTTGACAATGATTTTCTTCACTTTTTCTTTTCCCAGCAGTAATTGCATTTTTTGAGTTGAATTTTTCAGGTCATAACATAATGCTTTGCACATTTAAAGAAATGTTTCGTTTCGCGACAAATCCGATAACTGTTGTTCAAATATTTTCAATCGAGTTAGTAAAGATTACCGATTAGCTATTTTTGCCTGCTGCTTTTGCAAATTTAAAAGGATCATTTCAATACGTACCGTTATAAATACATAACTTGTTTAGTTTGACGTTCATGTCCTAGTTCTTGACGACGAATGTTCATGAATCTACCATACACAACTAAATATGTCACAGTATCGTCCTATCCAAATCACATAGAATCCAGTCAAAAATTATTAGTGAAAAAACTCTGATCAAAAATATAAACAATGTAATCAAAATTATTTTCATTTATCATTAACTGTTGTTTGTTTTTACTTTTTCAAAACATAACAAACCTCGTTTTTGCTGATAGTACTACAAGGAAAATGAAAATTTATGTAGTGAATTTCTGTAAACACAATAAATCATTGTTTAGAATGCAATTCTAAGCTCTCGCTAATATAATTATTTAATGTCCGATGCAATGTGCGGGGAGTGCTAGTTATTAGTGACAATTGTGTGGTGTTTCGAATTTGGTTTCCTGCGTAAAATAAGACAGGGAAATAATGAATTGCCTACTTGGGCAATTTTTGTACACTCGGGTAACGAATTAATAATTAATTTACATTAGGCAGTATGCAATTGCATGAGGAGCCAAAAAAATCAAGAAGATGAAAATATGCCTATATTTGCGCATAAAGTGAAATGTATGTATAAGTAGTATGCACCTATGTATGTATGACTAAGTATCTACATATAATAAGTAAATGATGCATTCTTTGTGATGTGGATATCGTGAATAATTAAGGGAGAATTTGGTTTTATACTAAGAATATTTTAAGAATACGATAAGATTTTTATTTTCATGTTTAACTGTGCACATTTACCTAATAAACATCATTGTTTAACTTGAATTATTTTCTCTTTACTTGTTGAAATACGAAAGGCTTATACGTATGATAATCAAAATCCTGCAACTGCAATCCTGAGCTCCGTCTGAAAGAGTTCGTCCTGTGAAGTATTGCCACTTTACCTATTTCTACCGCCAAGCAGTAATGTGAGCATTACAACGTTCCGGTTTTGAAGGCTAGGGGTGCTAGTGAAATTACAGGCACATGGGACTTATCAGTTTGTGTCTCTGGGTTACGGGCGCAGTGCCAGTCTCCCTCAGATCTATGCGATTTATAGCTCTGGGGTCTTACCATGAACTCGTATTACAGTTCAGTATAGGTTCGTAACGACAAAAAAAGCGGGATGGTGATATAGACTATATGTAGCGCTGTCTCAAACGATTCATTTTAGATCGTAAACTGAATTGTAATAAGAGTTCATGGTAAGATCCTGATTTGGACAGGCGTGTCGCTTACCACCAGACCCACGACTTGTTCGTCTTATCACTTGGTATCATAATATCACATATATATGTGTATGTGTGTATATATATATATATATATATATATATATATATAT